CTAAGGCGCACCTGTGCCACAGGTGACTTAGCATCTCTTCTTACCTAAGCTTACTAGCAAATCACACCACCAATCCACTCACCACCCCCTCAGTCACAAAAAAACTCAGAGGTTTCTTACTTTAACAGTACAGATAGCTGTTTCAGACCTTGCTGCGAGGGAAGTCTCCTCACAGGATTCCACCATCTGCATGGTTCCGGCCCTATAGGCCTAGCATCTACTTTCTTTTCTGATTGCTTAAAGGAACAGACTCCACTTTCCCAAACTGCTCAGCTTTTTCCTCTTCTTGTGCCAACTCTACATACTCCTTTATTGGTTTTGGCTCACAAACTGATCTTAACCTGCTAGGAAGAGACCTCCAAGGCTGACTGGGAGCCTTGCAGCTCTGTGCTGTGGCAGTTCGACCAGCCAGCCCTGCTATGGGTGGTGCACAGAGGAGGCGAAATGCTGCATCCAGAACAAGAGACACAAAGTATGGCAAGGTGAATAGACCAGCAGCACCTTACTGCACACCCCCTACAACTGAAGGGGGAAAAAAAAATTAAGAAAAAGCAAGGATACAGAAAACAAGAGAAATGGAAATTGCATCTGCCAGCACTTTGCAGAACTCCCTCAACAAAGTTATGGAATACACAACTTCACAAAACACTGAGAAAAAAAAAATCCAAATCCATCTTTATGGATATCATATATAGACAGCCAAGGCTTAACCACTCTGTTTTCTTATTTATTCATTAGCAGCAGTATTACACACCTAGCAGCAAAAACGAAAGAACAGGCCTGAAGCAGCAGGGGGCTGGAACTAGATCCTTTCAACCCAACTTCTGAAAGTGCACAGAAACCCTAGTTTAATAGATACAAATTGATTCACACTTCAAACTACATCTGGGACACAGGTGTGAGTGAGTACTCAAAATCCATTAAATATTCAGGAAACTGAATTCCTTAGGAGATACAGCCTCATGTTCCAACGCAGTAGGCACTTTCAGTATTACCAGAACAGGCTGTAAGCTCTCCTCTCATCAAGAGATGAACAATCTCATAAACAGGTATGTTTTAACCCACATCATTTTGTATTAGTATGGAGTAAGTACAAACTCAATTCACTTTTAGGGAAAGAAAAAAAAAAAAAACAAACAAAAATACCAGAAACACAAAACCAAAAACCATACAACCAAAAACCAAATTTATGTGACACCCTTTTCTCATGTCTTTCCCTACTGTGTTTTTAGTGCCTATCTTCCCCCTTCTATGTCTTTCAGTTTGGCTCTGGTATGTGGCACCACAAGCAGTCACATCTCCCAGAAGGCTCAGGTGCCCCCTGTTCCATGCTGTATATAGACACACTTCAGGAATCCTGGAACTTGGCTTCACTTCTACAGAAAGTGCATTGATGCAACATCTATCCACATACCCGAAGTACACAAAGTGAAAAACACTTGTGCTTTAGGTTTGGGTTTTTTTTTTTAAATTAGACCATCTGGCTAAAATAACAGTGTCTTTCTACAACTGACACACAAAACACTTGCAAGTACAGGGATCATTGAAGATACCAATTTTGTCAAGGTCTCTGTGACTGTGAAAAACAGAGGACTGTTCAGAAAGAAAATAACAATGAGCTATGAAGTACATTAGAGCAAGTTTTCCAGCTGAGGTTGTTTATAAAGAGATTTAGTAATAATAGAAAAGAAATGCTTTAATGCTTACCATGTTTCAAAAATACAGAGCACATGTGCTTTGTGTACTTTACAAGTAAAATCAGATTTTACTAGTAGCTCCCTCATCTGTTTTACTCCAACAGCACGAGTTAGGATCCTGAATTTTGGCATAATACTGTACTAAAAAAAAAAAAAACAAAGTGCCTGTGGTGGTGAAAAAATAACAGAAGTATTATCCAGGTAAAAATAAAATCCATCTGGAAGAAATTCTTCACGTTTCTTTTGACAACTATGTCAGTCCATTTATAATAGAATTTTTCGAACTTTAATACAGCAAGCCTCTTGTATTTCAATACATACACATTATCTAATAAAAATTGTGTATTACATGAAATTATAATCTTCTATATGTATCTTCTGTCAAAGCTTGTTGATACGGTTATACTGCATTTAGTTTTAAACTTCAACATGAACTGAAATTGTCACTGAAAGCATTAGAAAGTGAAGGAAAAGGGGGCAAGGGGAACACAGGCTAAGGGAAAAAGAAGATAGCGTATTACTCTCAGGTTATTGTTTTATGCAGAAAAGGAAAAAAACAAAAAACAAAAAATCCCCCCAAAAGGGGATCAAAAAGTGTTCAATTTCTAGAAGCTTCACAATCAGTATCTTAATTCTCTTTGAAAATTAAGGCCTGGAGGAATTTTCGTTTGTTTGTTTAATTCTGAATATAAACCACAGCTGTGTATAAACCTCTAAAATTCAAATACAGATCTCAAAATAGACCTTTTGTGATGCAGCTAGGAACACTGAAATAAACAAAAAAACCACCCCTGCAAACAGGATGGTACACTGATAATCACGTTTCAACTAGCCACAACTTGCTTTGAGACTCCTTGACATCACTGATATACAAAACCTCAATTTTAATGCAATTTACAGATCTTAGTTATCTGTAAGAACGTAATGCAACAAATTAAGCATTGTAGTATCACAGAGGGACACAGGCCAAGAGGAAGCAACTGCCAAGAGCTTCTTGTCATTTGTAATTTTTTGTTCCATACCTTATGAAAACAATTAAGAATAAAGATAGTATTGTGTACTTTTTAAAAGCTCAATGTCAAATATAGCAAGTTATTTTTTAATTAAAGTTTTTTAGAAAGATTGTAATTTAAAGTTATTAAAGTCTTGATCCTTTAAAGGTAAAAGGCCTTTAAGATAATCAGATACCAGCATGGATTAAAGCACAAATTTTCTTCTTTCCCATATAAAATATGGAAATAAAGTAATATTTGCATTTGTCTTTTCTCAAGAATATAGAACTGCTCTGAAGTATATCATCACGCCACAACCTAATATTCTCACTACCTCCATAAACAAAAACTTAAGATGCAAATTATACAAACTGCATTATACATTAAGACTGTGCAAAGGCGAAGTTCCACAGAATGGATGCAGGCTTAAAGAAGTCACAAGCCAACTTAAGAATCAATACTTTTTATTTACTGCTTGGTAGTACAAAAGTTGTATATAAACTATTTTGTTAAAAATACATCTGATATGCAAATTTAACAAAGGCAGACTAATATGGCAATATCCATACCCCTACAAAATAGCAGAGTGTAGTGTTAAATGCACTTCAACAGGCACAGTTTCTAAATCCTCTTATTGAAGTAACAATGCACAAATTCAATTCTTGCACATATCAGGTCATGTAATACCTTATGTATTTTATAAAGGTAAATAATGCGTTACATATCCAACCCATTTTCATTTCCTTTATTCTACATATCTCCAATGGAATCGAAATAGAAACTACTTTTAAATTAAGTAAAAAAATACATATTTCTGTTTCAGCTTTCTTCCATCTTTTTGGCAAATTTACTTGCAGTACTAACCCATCATGTATCAAAGCATGACAAACAATGTTATCAAAATAACCCCCGTTTTTGTATTTAAAGCTTTTGGAACAGTCTATAACTGTGTATTTCCTTTGTGAGAGTTACTCAAATAGCTTGGTTTTGCCAGTATTCTCTTTTTCCAGTAACATTTTATACTCATAGCTCTCAGTCTTTTGGAAACTGAAGCTAATTAATATAACCAATACTAATTAAGTTCTTCTAGAAATATTAGCTCTTCATATAAATAATTAAGTGAAGCTTGGAGGAAAAAAAAAAAAAAAAAAAAAAAAAATCAACAATATTAAATGTATTCCTTTAAGGCGAGCTTGGTGTTTACCTGAAAGAGATTTCCTAAGTAAGATTTAAATTAATGGGAGCAGGGTTACTAAAATACTCAAGTTCCAGTCCTGGCTGAACAGTTATTTTGGGTTCTCAAGGACGAACAGTATCTCTAAAAAATACAAATTTTAAAAGGAAAAATAAACCATTTCATCTTTTCAGAACTTTGCTTGATTATGGGTTGCTTTGGGGTTTGCTTGTTGTTTTCCCCAAAATACAGCACTGGTGAAACGTATATATTGTTAAGTGTATATATTGATAAGTGTGGCCAGCAGGTCAAGAGGTCTCCCCCTCTACTCAGGTCTCATGAGTACTATGTTCAGTTCTGGGGCCCCCAGCACAAGAGGGATATGGACCTGTTGGAGTGAGTCCAGAGGAGGCCATGAAGATGATCAGGGGGCTGAAGCACCTCTGCTATGAAGACAGGCTGAGAGAGTTGGTCTTGCCCAGACTGGAGGAGAGAAGACTTCAGAGAGACCTTATTGCAAACTTTTAGTACCTAAAGGGGCCTGTAAAAAGCTGGAGAGGGACTTTTTACAAGGGCATGTAGTATCTGAACAAAGGAGAATGGTTTTAAGCTGACAGAGGAAGTTTAGATTAGATATTGGGAAGAAATTCTTTACCGTGAGGGTGCTGAGGCATTGAAACAGGTTGCCCATCACTGGAAGTGTTCCAGGCCATGTTGGACAGGCCTTTGAGCAACCTGGTCTGGTAAAGGATGTCCCTGCTCATTGCAGGGAATTTGGAACTAGATGATCTTTAGGGTCTCTTCCAACCCAAATCATTCTATGATTCTATGAAGTCCAGATAGTATCTCATGGATACAAGTAGAAGAAAGACCATCTGCAACACATACTTTCAGCAAGAGTGAAAATAAACTTCATGTTTCCTGGGAAGACATGCGAGTATCTAATATATAAGCATCGAGACTAAAATTTATCTTTTTACACATTGATTGTTAACACTGTGTAAACTGATGAAGAAACCAAATTCTCAGATATGAAGGAGAAACAGTTTAGAGCAACTGGACTGAAAGGATTGAAAGTATGAATTTAAGATAAATCTATTTCAATGCAAACACTGATTTTCACTGAGGAAATACAACAGATTAAATTACTTTATAGTTCTTAGAATATACTGCAATCTCCACTAAAATGCATTACATTAGAACTTATATTCTTAGGCACTCAGAGCAAATGATATTTTTCAGTTTCTATTACACAGCAAAGTTTGCTGAAGTATTGCAAAGATTTGCCTCCCCATAACGAGTAACAGGACAAAGCAGAAATCATGATAAGCTGACACAAAGAATTAATATCACAGAACCATCACTGGTATTTTTAGCAGTAAGTCATACTTCAAACATGGAGGGAGTGACTCAAGATTTCAGTGCCAATGAAAAAAAAACTACCCTCAGTCCAATAAAGCCACTCTGAAGTACTTTAGCATATACCCCAGAAAACTTTTTATGTCAGATATTCCATATCCTTATCTAATGTTTGAAATGTGTTGCCTTAGCTTAATTAGGAGCCTGTGGATAAAAACAAAAAAAAGGCAGAACTATTAGACATTCTTCAAACACAAGCGAGTAGGTACAAGAAAACGTGAAACAAGTGGCCTTGAGGAAAGTAAATTCCCAATAGCTTACACAGCTACATAGAAAAAAATGCTGTTCAGCCTATGTCAAGTAGTAAGGGGGAGTAAGGAGAAGGAAGAAAACAATTTGACTTCTGCATATAACTAAGCCACTCTAACGTGAAGCAACCTTTAGAGTCCAAGGGCTTACGTACTAAAGGCACACATGCAGATTTTGGCTGACATAATGATCTCCCTGTATGTTTTGCTTGGCTACTAGTGGTTAGATTAAAAGAGTATTTTCATCTTCCAAAGGCTTGCTTTTATCTTCAACAAACACTTGTCAACTCTGGAAGGGCAAAACAAAGGAGAAAAATCCAGATGGACTAGAGGGGTGAACACAGTTTATCCATAGGGTAATCATATTACATGTAATACTGAGCTCACTAAAAATGCTTGTCTAAGTTTAAAAAAAAAAAAAAAAAATTAAGATTTGGTAAGTCTTTTAACTTTCCTGTCCTAAACCTTAGGTTTTCTCTCACAGATGAAGCCCAACATTTGATACGAGGCCCACAAAAGTCAACAACATTTAAGTGTCTAAATCTTAATGGCTTTGCACCAGTAAAAATCAGTGTTTACCCTTGCATGAATGCCATCACAGAACTTGTAAAATGCAACAATGCCATAAATACATTTCCTTAAATAGTATACTTCTCTTGGGAGTTTTCAGTTTTTTCCAAAGTGCTAGCGAACAAGTTTCTTCTAAAAGTTCCACCTGCAAGAGAAGAACAAAAATAAGCCTAAATAACAGAACTAGTTTTAGACTGAACATACCACAATTAAAAAGTTAGCAGATGCTCCGAAATGGGGAAAAATGCCACAATCACAGGAAGTGGTTGCCGTGCATTGCAAGTTTAGCATGTGAAATCCTAAAGGAAAGAAACTGAAAATTTACCTGGCACTTATGAAAATGATGGACAAACACATGGACAAACTAACAAATCACATCACAGTGCAAAGCACACATAACTTTGAAAGGATACTAGGAACGAAAGATGTTACATAGCTTCACTGCACCAGTACTTTAAGTTTTTGTTTACCCGTAGCTTACAACAGATGTGCAAGAGCTCAACTCAAAATTCTGACTTCAACCATCAGTCTGTCTACTACTTTATGTGCCACTAAGCATATTCTAAATAAACTTAAGTGATGAAATGGAGTCTGCTGAGAACACGGACCTTGGAGACATGGAGGAGACATGCTACAGCTTCAAATGACACAGCCAGCAAGAACTAGGATAAGCTGAAATACCATAGAGGTCACTTTAAGAAAATACTTGAGAACATGCCAGTTTAGGAGAAAAAAAAAAAAACCTGAACTCAAAAGCAGCAGTGAAAACAAGCAACCAGCAATATTATGTCATTCAGGTACTGCCCAACTCGGGAATACCATTTCACACAGGAACTCTCAAGTAACATCAGTTAAAGTCAGGTCACAAAGCACAAATCTACTGCCTCAAAACGCTGGAACAAACCTTTTCTGTCAACAGTTAAATACACATTTGTGTCTGCCTTCTTCCTCTGCATCTGAAGATCTGAGCCAAATTCTCCAAAACCATTTGCTTTCTATAGTAAATTTATTGGCTGAGGGTGCAGAAATCTTAAATGACACTTATCTGTTCGGTTTCTGTAAATGAAACTATAATGATTTATTACAAGTCTGAAGTAGTTGAGTAAAGGTCTAACTACTACCTTTTTACATGTGAACAGCTTTTCACAGCAGCGGACAAAAACTAATCTAGAGCCATGCTAAGGAGCACTGTCATAGTCTTTCAAGAAAGATCTGTTTATTTTTTTGTAGTGCACATCAAACAAGCCTGGAAAGTTTCCCAGATAATTTACAAAACAGCTCTGTTGGACTGGAGAGACCTTTACAAGAGATTCTGCTATTAGAACATTTGTTTTCAGAAAGGGCAATACTTTAATCCTAAGGGAGGCTCTACAATGAAAAGCTGCCATAGTATAGCTATAAAAAAAAAATTAAATGTCTATCTATCGTATCTCCCTAGAGAACTGCTTACTTTTAGATTAAAGTAGTCATGGTTTAAATTTAGAGAACAACTTTTAGGTAATTACAGGGAATATATTTTTTATTTATGAGAGAACAAACTAGAAAGAAAACTGGACTACAAAACATCTTTAGAGTCACTTTAAAATACGATTTTTTCCTTTTTTCTATATCAAAGTGCACTGGAATTAGCTTTATTTTCATATATGCCTTTTTCTATTTCAAATGTTTACAGAGACTAACTAGTCTAAGTAAAAACAAATATTACAAACAGTCTGATCATGCTAAATTTAGAGATACAGGAAAGAAAGAATAGTCACAGGAGTAACAAAACAATTAGCTGGCTATGAAAATGTCAATGCAGCCAGTGAAGGAAGAGGTTATTTCTTCTTACATTTAGCTAATATTGATTTTTTAAAGGAAAGAACACCAACAAAATAACTGCTGAGTATCAGGACATAATTCTGAATCAGAAAGTAAGAGTGGTTTGCCTTTCACTGACATCTGCAGATCCTTTGCAGATTAAAGAGCAGCAATAAGTCAGCAGCCACTAGAAAGCTACAATTTGCCAAAAATTGTCATAGAACAAAATGCAGAAACAAAATACTTAGTCGTCTTTACAGCTATCTGTAAGGATGCTGTATACACCTGCAAGGCAGCTGTATTTACACTGGCTTTGACCAGCATTTGTCCAGTTTGGTCTTACAGATGCCCAGCAATAAAGATAGGACAGCTTATTTCAACTTCTTAATTTTTGAAACCTCAACTCCACCTCCTTGCAAATTAGCTCACTGTTTACTTTCTAACCCACTGAGCAAGAAGAATTTACTTCATTACACTCCACAGCCTTTTAAACATTTGGTAACATACCACATCTCCAAGTCTTTCTTTTTCTGTGACAGTGGTTCCAAATAAATTGGGTATAATTTAATGATAAGGCACAGAGTCCAGACAAACACACACTCCTTAGGTCAACAGTCCTAACTGTGCTGCCAATAGCAGTTGGTAGGAAGTATCCCAATGCATACCAGTTCTCTACTTTGTCTTCCTTTCCTGATACAATTACAGAATGTCTTAATGAATAAAAAACAGATATAAAGAAAAGGCCACATCTCAAACCTTGGCTTTTCAAATTTAACCTCAAGACACTCAAGGGGGTTTGGGTCTTGTTATGCTGTTAAACATACACAATTTCCACTGGTGCATTTCCCTCATATCTGAAGTTCCTAAGAGTTTGAAATGGACTGAGCTGCCACAACATGACTTTATCTGTTCTCTCAGCATACAGAGATTTTGGCACTGTGCACTTTGTTCAATGTCTTCAAATCTAGTGCCCTTATCACCCCAGAACCCCTTTTTTCCTAAAGGGAAAGCTCTGTATTTGAAATGCATTTATGTAAAATCACCTTTCCCCTTCAGATGATCAGTCAGTGTGTCATCAGTTAGAAGCAAATCACATTGACTTACAGGGGCTTTTCACCCCAGCTGTTACCAAAAAAACAAACCCAAAACAAAACCAAAAACAGTCAGGGGTGCATTCCAAAGCCATGCTGGACACATTGACATGCTTCATGGGGTACCTCAAGCAATTCACTGAACTTTGATGACGCACAAGAAAACCCCAACCTCCTTAGTAACCTACCTAGATCCCTGTGATATGAGCATTTTCATGTGTCTCCATTCTTATTAGCCAAAGATCCACTGATCTATCAGAGAAGTACCTTGTAAGCAGTCACTTACATAAAAGCACACAGTACAAGGCAGCAAGCATAAGGAAGAAGCACTTAAGTTATTCCAGTGATGCAGCTGTCAGCAGCATTTGCTTCTTCTGGGTAATAAACACATTGCCACTAAATCTGAAGCACCACTTATTGCAAAAATTAATATGCAGATGTTTAATTTTTTGGACCTCTAATGCCACCCTCCACAAAGAGTTTATTTCAACATCTACTCTCATTACAAAGCCTAAATAAACAATTAGATAAGAATTTGGTGGATAATTTAGCCTTTACAAATTTCTCATTAGCTGAGTGAGCAAATACAATTTTTGCAAACTTCTATAGAAACTTTTTAAATTAAAAGATGAATTTTCATGCAGAACTGATACATTTTCAACTTCATTTCTCGTTATCAATTACCTTCACTTATTTGACAACATACAACTTTCAGCACGAGTTCCCACTGTTTGTTACCTGCAGTTTACTCGGAGCTTCTTCTCTCTCGCACCTCCTGTTTCACAGGTGTGGCAGGCACTTCAGTGTCCTCCTGTTTTGCAGGTGTGGCAGGCATATCACCATTGATACTCTCCACACCGGTAACAGACATCAAGCTTTTCCGTTCTTTGGAATTAGATTTGTGCTCCACTTTTGTGACTCTAAATCTGAGGTAAGCAAAAGAAAAGATTCATTTGTATTTCCTCAGATTAGTTAGATTGCACTCAGTACCCATTGTAAGGACAGGAACATGTTTTCAGTTCCTCAAGACCCTCAGAGCTGACATCCACATGGGACCAGCTTCACTTCAAAGCAGTCTTCCTTCCCATTACCTACATGCACTTATAATACTCACTATTGCTAAAATCACACTTTCTCTGGGAATTATGTTTTCATGCAAAATCCACAGGTAGCATACTACTTCTCAGAGGAGTAATTTTCTAAGACAACTACAACATAAGCTAGGAATTAAAAATAACAGAACAGAATGCTTTCTATAGCTCACACTTACTTGAAAAATACCAAATTCAGAAAGAGGAATTTATTAGTGTGCAACCCTTGTTTCTTTTTAGCCAGTATCAATAGAGCAATAGCTATGGATTTATACCCACAGTAAATCCCCATCTATTAAAATAATAATAAAATAAAAAAAATAATAAAAAACAACAAACACAAAACCCAAACAACCAACCCATGTTTATTTCTTCCAGAAATAACCTCAGTCTAATAGTAATAGGGTTACAAAAAACAATCACTGATGCTATAAACAGTGTAGAATCAATAGATACCTGATCCAAAATGGGTCACTGTATCTTCCCTAAGAAAACCATACAATAAAATGACCCAAGCCTTACCTTCCCACAGAAAGGACTGTAACTTCTCCGATACGACTTCTTCTGTGCTCTTTAGATTTATGAGCTGGCTTTATGAGGTGCCATCGTTTGTGGCTACAACGAGTACAAACATCCTGTTCTATTGCTCCTCCAACAGTATGGAAGTGATGGCCTTTACAGCTGTGTTTAAATGGAATAACACCAGGTGACAAAGGAGATCCTGGACTTGTTGGACTCCCAGGAGAGGTAGGAGATAAAGGGCTGTAGGAAAAAGAATAAAGGAAATTTAGTGTTTACTATAACGTCCTGATTCTTAAGAAGGAAAAGAAGAGTAAGATATAACCTTCAGTTATGCCTGTGAATAACTAACTTTTTCAGGGACCGTTTATTTGTAAGGATGTCTGGTTTAGGTCTCCCTCCAATATCCTATCCTATTTTTGCAGTTAAAATCACTTCCATAAATTAATTCAGCTGCAGTCATGTGGTTAAGATAATTAACACAAAGGAAAAGGAAATGTAAAAAAAAAAAAAAAAATCAGGCTAAAAGAAAACAGTTTACCTGAAATTATACTGATGAAGACATGTAATCAGCTCGTTAAATTCACACTTGGAGAACTATGGAAACTATTTTAGCGTTGTTACAGTATCCCCAAGAAATCACAAAAGAGCATTGTCCTACAACACTGCAAAGAGACAAAACTATCTACCATGAAGAGAAAAAGACTCAAAAGCCAGATAATCTGGCTTAAGCTTCAGAAACACTTACTTTTTTCTTAAAGTACTTTGAAAGAAAGAAAAAGCAGTATAACCACCAAGAAGTACCTATTGAGAACATCTGATTGATTCAATCTGATTTTCTTCTAAAGCAGAAAAGCAGGCAGCATATAGAGAAACCAGAAGATGTACTTTTTTGGACTTCAGCATCAATATTGATACCATGTTGCAACACATTCTCCTAAATCAAGCCTCTCAGTGCATTAAACGTGAAATTTCTGCAGCTTAAGGTAGCACACCTTGTTTGAAAAAAAAAAAAAAGGAAATACCAGGAAATTACATATTAGTAGCTCACTATGAAACTGGAAAGGCACACTAATGTGGTTATTCTGTGATGATATTCAGTGTTTTAATAGTTCCTTGCATAATGGAATAGAAGAATAACTAAAGTACCCATAAACTTTGGGTCACCCATAGTAACTGTAGAGGACAAGATGAGAAATGAGGATGATCAGAAGACAGCATGTGTATAAAATACACAGTCACACATATACACACACATAAACCTTATTAAAAATACTGGCTGTATTGCAGGAAGGACAAAACAAGTTTCAGTGCTTTAGCAGAAAAGCTTTATAAACCCAGATTACAAAGAAACTAGCCAGAGGATCATTCTGCAGAAAAAGGTGAAGATCACAAGCTAAACATGAATCATTATGATGTTGTTGCTAAGAAGGACAATTTTCACAGTGGAAATAACAGGAGTATAACCTGCTAACCTAGGGTTACATTACTCAGCATTAATCATGCCTCAGCTGATCATTCCATCCAGTTTTGGAACTGTTATTTCAAGAAAAATACTATCAAACTGAAGAGACTCCAAAGGAGAACAGACAAACAAAAGAAATAAAATATGCCGTAAAAGACGGGAGTTACTTGGATGCTTATTTTCAAAACAAAAATATCGACAAGAGACATTTAATGGTCTTCAAATACACAAGAGAATGCTATTAAGGGAAATCTGTTCAACCTCTGAAGCAAAGACAGGAACTAATGGCTTTAAGTGGCAGAAGTGAAGATTTTGCTTAGCCATTACTTTTCATATCATTAGGAAATGTTTCATAGTGCATCAAACTTAGAAAAAAATACAGTGGATTTGCACTTAAGTTACTAAAGCTTTGGGAGTATCTATCAGAAATTATATAATTATTTTCCCCTTCCCTTTACCTTTTGTATTTTAATTCACCACTGAAACAATAGTTAAAATTCCCAAAATAACATCACACATACCTACGCAAAAAGACTGAGTTAAATTCAAATATTTCTGCTGCACCATAAATTTAAAAATAAGTCCTGTACTTGAGAGTAACTCCTTAAATTCATTTTTTTTCTACAATAACCAAGCCTCTTAGCGTTAAACAGGTGGTTTAACAGTTTAAACGGTTGCATACTCAACCTTTTGTTTTGCTAAAGCTACACACTCCTACTTATTTTATTAGTGATACAGTACTATTTGAACCTTCATCTTTTCTACCTTGAACATGAACAGAGGGTTACATATGAAAAGTAGAACAGTACAGGTATTAATTAAAGGTACTTACGTATAGATATACATAAATAATGCATCTGCAATTCAAGGGATGAACTACATTCTCTATGTAATTCTCTAAATGTGTAGTGAAAAAAGTAAGAGGTGGGTCAGCCAACGTATATTACCATGATTATAAAGAAAAAAGTAAACCAGGAGACAGAGAAAGAAATGTCTATTTCAAGTTAGCATCCATACAAAAGAACCAAGTGCTGCTTATGTTTTTTCAAATCAGAGGAACTTTGGACTAAGCCAAATTGTAACTTCACAGTGAAGTAAACAAGTATTGCAGCCTCTGTAAATACTTAACCCAAAAAGCAATGAACCCGTATCACACACCTAGAACACATAACCAGAAGAGCCAGTTACTAACCCAGGGCACACATTAAAACCGAGTGACTCAGAGACACCACAATCAACATAAATCAGTGGAAATCGACATACTGTCATCTTAGCTGGCAAATCAAGGAACTGATGTACTCAGGAAATATGCATTAAGAAGATGAGTAATTACCTTTCAGGTTCAAAGACACTGCTATCTGCCACCATGGCCTTTAACACATCAGCATTTGCTGAAATGAGAATAAACAGAATTCTTCAGAAGTGCACAACTCTAACCTCAGAAAAAGCAAACAGCAAAATTAAAAGTCCTCAAAGAAACTTCACTTAGAAGAAAGATGACTGCATCATGCATATCTCCAAAAAGGCACAAGAGAAAATTATGCAAAAAAAAAAATTTTAATATAATTCTGTGTGATTTTCTTAATATGAGCTACCAAAAGTACAGTTCATATTGCACTCAAAAGCACCCAATTAAGCCATGTAACACAGCCATCTACACAGCACTCCCAGACAAGGTCTCTGAAAAATTTAAAACATCCACTTGACCACAGGATTATCATCACCTCATATATATATAAAGCAACTGCAGATGAAAAACACTGGTTTAATTGAGCCCTACAAAATGCAAATTATCCATCAAAAACAACCAATTGCTCACATATTCTAAAACACATACGGGCTACACTTAATCCCAGCCTCCATGAAAAATACACAAACTCAAAGCCCTGACAGTTAAGTAAAAAATTCAAACTAAAACAACAACAACAAAAAAACAACAACAAAAAAAAGAAAAACCAAGAGAAAAACAAGAAAAAAAAAACACAAACCAACCCAAAAAATACAGCTTTTCCAGAGGACTAGTCTTCATTCAAAAATAACACTCAGAGCTAGCTCAACACTTCAGAGAACTTCAGCTTACACAAATGTAAAATTAAAAGGCTGCAGGTTCTTGTGCTATAAAAACATGCAGTCTCCTAAATGTTTCTTCTACTAGGCAAGTAAGTTCTGAACTAACCAAGCATTCCATAGGCTGCTTAACTTTGATTTTATTTTTGCAGTCATATCATCTTCTTTATCCTTCATTCTACATGCACAGCACATAAAATTAGTGCTCGTCTACCCTTTAGTCTCAGTTATGCACAAACCTTTCAGAGAAGAGCTGCAAAAATCATTTCAAGACAAAAAGTTTAATACGGTCAAAAAAAAACATTTCCACATGCTTTAAACATTGCCACTAAGAAAGCAACCTTGGGTTTTTCTTTCACAAACAAAAAAAAAAGCAAAACAAAAAAATCAAACACCCAAATAGTTACAGTATCAAGAAATTCATGAACCAAACTTACCATACAAAATAATTCTCAGGTAAACAAAACCTTCCCTACTTTGTTTGAAGTTATTGCCTTCTAAAGGCAATCTCAGAGCTCAGCATGTACAAAATGGTTAATAAAAACACATGAACATAACATACTTCAGAATATGTGAAAAAAAACTTGTTATGGAACACCATGTCTTGAACAACACAATACTATACCTTCATTTTTCATAATGTAGTTAACAATTTGTCCCACAGTGTCGCTATTCTCATGTATTGTTTCATTCATTTCTGTGCAAGGAAATAAATATGTTATGAATATCTTGGGCTTTCAAATCAAGAAGTGAGTTATTTTAAAACAAAGTAAAAACAAGACCCCATGCTAAAACCAAAGCAAACACCAGAAGAAATTACTTCAAAAGACAGACAACATCTATTGCCACTTCAGAGTGAAAGCTGAGAGAAGACTTTCTAGTCCTTATTCAGAAAAAATACAAACATAAGTTTGTGGAGTCTAGACATCAGCTCTAACATACTAATTTAAGACTTGACTAACTTGAATTAAAGTTGAATTTTCAAAAGCATATGTCAAAACTCCTGCTATATTTAGTAAGGAAGAAACAAGACAGCAGTATTTGTCATCCTAACAATAGGGAGGGAAAACAAACAAAATCATTAGTCTGCCCAAGTCACTATTTTAAAATAGATATTATCATCTTCCAGAATAAGAGGGATTCAATTTCAGCTTTTCACCACATTTGATTTTTTGCAGGAGCAAGCAATTTAAGAAAGACACCTTACGACTAAATACTTCTGGAATCAATTGCACCTATTAACAATACTGGAAGCTTCCCCAGAAAAACTTCAGAAGGCAGAGAAAGATGGGAGAGAAAAATGGAACTATGAGGAGGCACAGCTCTGCCGTTTCCAATCATTATGACTAGGTTTAAAAATAAAAAAAATCAAAATAAAAGTAGTATCACAGGATTGAGGCAAGTTTGATAGGTGAGATCCTAAATCTGCCTCAGTACTAGTAAATTAGGGGCTTCAACATCTCTGTACCCATGCTCCATCTTCATTCTAATACAGGCAACTTTGCAATGCAACTTTGAGCTACCTCCCCAAGACCTAGAAGTTATCCCCCTATCATGACTGCTCACCTTGCTGTTACCAAGCAGGTGAACTAACAGATCAGCCTGTTCCATTCCCTACATGCATGCCCCAGGCAGTAACTGCTTAAGAACATGCTAACACATCATTACTATACCACACTGCTCTACCCTTACCACACAGCCAAAAAGTGCGAAGTATAATTTGCACTTATTATAAACCTACTGACAGTAATTAACTAGGAGAAAGGAAGAAGCCCAAAGTATTTACAAGTGACTTGACACTTATATTTACTTAGCCAAATGCTATAGTGACTTACTATAGCCCTTCCCAAGGGATAGCATTCTTTTCTTGTTTTGTTTTCAAGTAAGAGTAGATGGAAATAAGGAACCATAAAAATAAAAGCACAAACAAACATTAGAACAAAAAGAAGTATCTTTAGGAAAAAAATAAAAGCAGTACACATTACATACAACAGAAAGTAGACAGTAAGTCCAAAGGCTGTTTTATAATGAGATGGGAGATGAGAATGACAGCACAACAGGAGCAAAGACTGCTAACACAAAACTAAGATTTTAGGCTTCATGTGGCAGGGCTTTTTATCTCTCCTCAGATGAAATCATGCATAATAATATTTTGTTGCTAAAAGCAGGTGGAATGCAGAAAAGCAATCTGGCGACTGTGACTGCAGTGTACAGCTGCAAACAAACATACTGGACACTTTGATCCCTCTGTAAGCTCTTAACTGATGTTAGAGGACTTGCATGGGAAATTGGAACACTCCTAGTTTTGACTGGCAAAGATCAAAACCCAACGGACATATAATGGTAACAAAAATATTTTCCTTAATATTGTTTTGATGTCAAATATAGACAGAGAAATGACAGAAGTCTCACAATAAATTATTCCATAGTAGCTGTAATGTAGAGAAATAGGAAGTTATTAGACTTCTTGATTACCTATTTTTTCATCAAACTTTTCTTCCTCTACTTGTTCTGCCTCCGTTGTACAACGATATCCTTTTTTCTTCAGGACATGACAGATCAGGATCCCCAGGAGACCCATGATGAAGAAAACAGGAACCAATGCAAAAGCAATATATTCTAGGTGTTCAGGCTTGCCATCATTGCCATCAGTCTTAGTTGTCAGAGTAGTTGTCTGTAAGTCACTGCTTGACAAAAACTGGAAAAACTCTCCATTACCTATGCAAATGAATAAACACAGGTATTACTATACTCTGTAAATCAATTCAAAGCATTTAGAAAATTGCAAGCATGAATAAATCCCCTAGCATCAATGTGATGTACCTTATGTGATGACTTGAATGGGCAACACATACTTCACTGGCTGCGAAGCCACACCTGTAACAGTAGACATTCCCTCTTCATAAATGATTACAAGACATCTAAGGTCCAAAACCCTCACATGATATTTCTCTAACATAAGAGTGAAGAACAATATTCTAGCCTAACAGGCTTGTGAGCTCAATAAAAGGGCTCACATATTTCACAGAAGTGTACCACCACCATTGCTCCTTGTCCCCACCACTGAGGAAAATGTGATACCATTTCTCCAGTATTAAATTCATGCCAAATTGCTAAAAAAAAAAAAAAAACATGGATTCCTCCCTAATATGTAAGCACAGGATTCTGAACTGACCCTTGCAAAGCAGTATCATCAGGTGTGAGAGAAATACCATGATGTTTTTCTTAATAGTGGGATTTCACAATACGAAAGAAAAAAAAAAAATTACTCATCAGCATAAGATAAACTCACTTCCCTTGTTTAAGATTCAGAACCCATTTTGTATTTAAACTTGAAACAGGATGAGAAAAAGGCTTTATGTTTTGTTTCCAAAGAATCTAAGTTGCAGCATACACACTAACTTTAGACTCACAATTACGCATTTTTGTTTCAATTAAACTCCGAATTTAACAGATGTATATATTCCATTCTATAGACTGGGCTTTTGAACTACCAGAAGTACAGAATACTCACATTAGAAGGGACCTTTGAAGTTCATTAATCCAAATGCTGCTAGAAGTGGATCTGATTAGATCAGGTTGCTCAGGTAAGCTCCATCTGAATGATGGACATTTCACCACATTTCTGGGCAACCTGTTCTAATATTTGCCCACTTTCATGGCTAATATACCCAGATAAATTGAATTCTCAGTACCTTCTCATATATAAAATAAAAAGCTGTTCAATTTGTCCCTGTTTCAGCTGGGATAGAGTTAATTTTCTTCCTAGAAATCCAAAAATACACATTTGCATACCCAAAATTCCTTCTGAGCCTCTAGGGTTTATACACACTCCCCACCCACATAAAAAGATTTAAATATCACTCTTCCAACATACAAGAATATTGCTGTATTTCTACCCTCTATTATTACTCTCCACTTCAACTGAAAATACGTTTTTTTTGAGTAAGAAAAAAAAATGACAATAAAGACAACCGATAGAAAAAATTTCTAACACTATTTCAAGATATTTTCCATCTTGTATTAAAATGGTCAGGGAAATTCACAGTCATTCTATGAATGAAACTGGTTAAAGAAACAAAGATCCATCAAAAAAACATTTATGACAGTGATGCTTTCAGAACATAAATGTCTAGAACAATCAAATCACTCCCTTACACAAAAAAAAAAAAACTAATTGAAGCCTCCAGAAAATTACTGAAAGACTCTTATCTCACAAACACCTCTACTGCATTAGCTGTAGAACTAAGCTGTATTTAAAAATACCAGTAAGGTGACAGACTGAAAAGAAAATTCGTTTAAACCTGTAGTTAGGTATTTAGCCTAGCTCTTTTCATATCAAAACACTAAGTCGTTTATTTTTAAAGTATTCCTGAATTTTTCAGGACAGTCGTGAATTGTCACTTCAGTAGTACATAGTACACAAGACTTGCTCAAAGTGAAAAAAGCACTGGAAGGAACTTCATTGAAATAACAGTGGATAAAACCACAATCAGCAGCAAGAAGAAAAGGTGTGCTAAAAGCATTTCTCTAAACTAGTTTTCTAAACAATAGCAGAAATGCAGACAAATTGTAAGAAATGCAAACAAACCACTGAACAGATCACAAGGCTAAATGTTAAAATCTCAGGATGTTTGCTTTGGACAAAGCCAGATGGTCTAGCTTACTCCCAAACACAAAAGAGAAAGCTGTTCACTTATAAGAGAGGCCAGCATTCCCACAGATAACTGTATACAGAATTTACTAGACAAGTAACCTTTAGATGCTTTAATTTATGCCTGAGTAGGACAACTGACCAATATATACAATTTAACACTTTCAGGCTGCAACTGTTTTACACTACAAAGAAACAAGAGACAGGAATGGCTTACGGCCATAATCATATAACTAAGGAAGTTGATCTTACATACACTTAATTTCCTTTCTAAGAGTTTATAATTTACATTTTAATATACCAAAATATTTTTTTTTGTTGTTTGTTTGGGGGGGTTTTGGTGTGTCGTTCCACACCCCCCCCCCCCAACTCATCAGGTAGAAACAGGCACAAAATCTCCCATTTAAGCAAAGCACCTTAATTTATTTCCCAAGCAGGAGAAAAGCCATCATACCAAAGTAGTACTATTTTGATTACCACAACATCTCTGAATCTAAGAAATTCAACTTAAACAGTATACATCACAAACTCAGAGATGTATTAATAGATAAGCACCCTTCAGGTTCAAACAGAAGACAAAAATAGGCAGGTGCTTTGGGCTTTGCTTGCACATTAGTCATTTTAAGAACAAATGGGAAAGACCTACAACACTAAGATCAACCACCACTCGCTACTCAAATTAATGGGTAGAAGGGCCATGAGATCAATCTGACTTGACTTTCTCAGTTTTCTACCTCTCTCTGTGGAAAGAGAGGCATTCATTCCCCAAACAAATAATACATTTCAGCGTTTTCTCCATAACCACAGTAGGTTAAATACCCACTACAAACCTAAAGCAAGTGGGTCTTACAGACTAATACACCTAAAACACACTTTCCTAAAGTAATTGTGGTAATATGGAGGCATAGTCTCAGAGTATGTTCCAAAAATAAGGCCAGGATGATTATTTGTTTAAAGAAGCATAATGTCCTATACAATTATTTTTAAATCACCAACTTGAAACCCCATCAGCTTGATGCAGCCACTGAAAACATATGTACAATTTACAATACAAAGCTGATTCAAAGCTGCATACAATCAGAAGACAAATTATACAAAGAAAATTGGAAAATGAAACCCAAATGCTATTAAATGTTCACAGCAAACAAAAAAAAATTCTATAGAAATCTGAACCAATCTCAAATTCACAAACAACTCCAGTGACTGAGATGCATCACATTTTCAGAAACACAGATCACTGCTGAATGTTGCAAATCAGTGATCACTGCAATTGCTAAATACCATCCCCACCCTGCAAAAAAAAAGCACACCATCAGAAACTCCTCAGGTTCATATTCCCAGCACACCTAATATATAGCACCTGTAAATGCTTGCATGGTTTGAGTTCCTTTGGTTTCAGTTTTCTTTCTCTAGCTACACAATCTGTTTCAAGATTTAGCACTTCCTCTCGGACTGTCACTTGAAACACCAATGAGAAAATCTCATCAAATACAATCTAATCTGCAATCTAGACAAATTCTCAAATGACAGATGCAACACATACAAGGTAAAATAGAACAAAAAAAAATAATTTAAAAAAAAAACTGTACCTACACTCTTTTGTGTGTTTTTTTCCTGACAGAAGCATGTTGGTAAAAACTTAGTTTATCAAGTGCATACTCTGTAGCATAGTTTAGCCCACTACTTGGATTAAGATTTAAAGACTTTCTGAACTAGGCAGGGAGACATACTTATAAGTATTTTTCCGATTTAAAAATTCATTAGCAGAGATACTCCAACATACCAGACCAGGTAGATAAGACTGTGTGATTTTTCTTCAGTTGTAGATACCTAAAAATCTAGCTCTCCCATTAAAATTCAACAAGATAAACAACTTTATTTGCAAGGTATTATACTAGTAAAACCTGAAATCAGTAATATTAATAATATACATAACTTGCAGAAAGTCCATAAACTGCTTGATGACATTCATTTTATGTTCAGAGATGTAAAAATTCAACAAAAGCAAACACAAAAGTACCCCAGAAGTATTTAGCTGTATCAAATACTTGGTAACCTTATAAGCAGAGTGCAGCACCCAGCTTTCATTATCATACACAGCAAGATGTCTGCCCTCAAAGACCTCAACAGTTACAACATAATGCAAAACCAAGGCATGTCTAGCTAATGAGCAATATATTTTATTCCCCAAGTCACAGCTACATCATTCATTGTATGCTCCCTATTCTTCTTCCCCAGAGGCATATTATGCTTATTAACAGACTTGATAGTCTACCTCATTCTCATGATGCCTGGTGTTGCTTCACAACGGTTTATAATGACAACTACTGCACATAGCAATCTTCCTTGACTCAAGTCAATTCCTATAGAAATTAATCTGCTTTGGTGATTTGCTGTCCTGGTATTTTTATATACCTGTCACTGTATACCAGTTTACACATTAATATTACTTGAAGATGTGATATAAATAAAAAGGTTTAGGAGCAATATTCAGCATATTTAAAGTGACATTTAAAGCTACACTTTGCCACAAATTGCTATTAATTCAGATCCTATGTACTCTTGTTTGCTTAAAAATGAGTATGTGTTAGGTATTGAACTTGAGAATTGCCTGCCCTTACTTAATCTTAACCTAAAAAGTAGATATAAGGACAGTCAAACTCAGCCAAGTCTTTTATACTGGCTCTAATCAGTACTAGTCTGACATAGTGTTCTTTCAGCAATGGCTCAAAGGATTTTTTACAGCACCTTTATGAAACAGAATATACGAGGAAAACGTTCACATATGAAAGAATATTTCATCCTGCATTAAAATGCAATTTTTACGTGGCCTTGACATATCTATTAACATTTTTCTTAAGCGCTGTATTCCCTCCATATCAGTAAAATAATGGCTGACCACAAAAATATTCCAAGACTAGTGTCTTGAAGCCTGTGAGAAGAAAGGAGCAGACCACATAAGCGAAGGTATTGCTCTATAACAAACTTAAAGGGTAAAGAAAGTTTTATAAACTCACAGAAAAGAGAGAAGGGAGCAGTTTAGAAAGGTCATCTCACTTCATCC